TCTGCCTTCTAAGTCGCTAAGATTACTCAGTTTTCACACCCCAGGGCTAGCTACTATTTTCTTATATGTGCTAACAATATTTTATATGTGGATACATATACTTTGTTCCATTTTCAAAAACGGAAGCATAGATAGGAAGTATTCTGAACCTTGCTTTCCCACCCCCTTCCCTCACTAACCATACCAAGAAATCTTTTCATCCCTTTAAGTCTTACTATGTAGCCCAGGCTGGCTTCAGCAATCATCCTACCTCAGCTTCCCGAGGTCTGGTTTTTACAGGAGCATGCTACTATGTCCAGCAAGAACAAATGGTTTTTAATTTTTGAATTCACAAGCATCTTATTCATTTGCTCATTGCCATTTAAAGTATTTTTAATATTTTGCTACTGTAAACAGGAAACTATCATTTCAGACATAAATAGAACCTATAAGAGGTGTGCTTGTTAAAATATATATGTATACATACATACATACATACATACATACCTACATACATACATATATAATTGCCCTCTGCAGGAAGCACTACACTTTATCCTCACATACCTGTTGTCTACAAAACCAAATGCTATTAAAGTTTTTGTTTGTTTTTGGCTCCATTATTCTAATGGCATAGAATTGAAGAAACTAGCATTTATTGGCAGCTAACTGCATTTCACTGACTGAAGTAAGGGGCTTTTCTTGGGTTATGTTTCTGATGTCACTGCTAAGGGTCTTATCATATTAAGGACTGTGAAGATTTTCTGCTTCTCCCATGTTCCTCTAAGAATTTGATGTTTTTAGCTCCTACAGGTCTTTCTTTGGGCCATGCTGTGTTAACATGTGTTTGGTATGAGGTAGAAATCTAAGCTTTTTGTTTGGCATGTGGGTACCAACCATTCCTGAACTGCCCTTTCGGGCAGCATTGTAATACCCACACACCCCCATACACACAACCATTGAATGTCTTTGGCATCCTTGTTGAGAACCAATGCCATTAAAAGTTTATTTCTTAATGCTTAATTCTATACCATTGATCTCTATGTCTATCTTTATGCCAATGTGCAATTTATAACTTTATGTTTTCAAACACAAGACCTCTAGCTTTGTTCTTTTTTACTTTCTTCTTTTTAAATTGACACTTTGCATCACCTTGAGATGTCATATTAACTTGAAGATAAATCGTCGTTTCATTACTGTAAAGAAGATAGTTGGAAGTTTGATATGGAATTTTTCAATATGTAGATTAGTAACTGCAATTTTAACATTCTTTTGTATATATTCAAGAGAAATATGTCAGAAAAGAAACTTAGCTGCATAAATGGTCACAGCATTGTTAATACAAACCATCAAATCAAGAAAATCCAAATATTCAGGAACTGATGAATGAATGTGGTCTCTGTCTAGGGCAGTATTATGGGATGCACAGATAAACCTGCAGCATGAAGAAGGCCTGGTGTTGTGGAATAGTAGATTAATCTGTGTCACATTTGTTTATGCTGTGGAACATTTATTTTAATGATGCAAAGATGTGTTGCATTCTTTTATGTTGTATTTGTTTAACTCTGTGAAGCTGTGATTTGTGTTTTGTTTTTGCCTAAAACACCTTATGGTGTAAGAGCTGAACAGCTGCACTGGGCAGTGGTGGTGCACGCTTTTAATCCCAGCACTCCAGAGGCAGGCAGATCTCTTTGAGTTCCAGGCCAGCCTAGTCTACAAGAGCAAGTTCCAGGCCAGCCTCCAAAGCCGCAGAGAAACCCTGCCTCAAAAAAACAATACAGCCTCAAAACAAAACAAAACAAAACAAAAAAAGCGATGGCAGATAGAGAGACTAAATAGGAGCAGAAATCTGGGAAGAGAAGGGACGGGGGAGGAGGACTGGAGGACTCTAGAGGCCAGTCACCCAGCTACACAGCCAGCCATGGATTAAGAGTGAAACTAAGATATCCAGAAGGAAAGGAAACGCCTAGAGGCAAAAGATAGATGGGATAATTTAAGATAAGGAAAGCTGGCTAGAAATAAGCCAAACTAAGGCCTGGCATTTATAAGTAATAGTAAACCTCTGTGTCATGATTTGGGAGCTGGGTGGCAGGCCCCCCATAAGAATAAAAAGAGTAAAATACCAACCAACTGAAGCCTGAGACTGGTACATGAGATGAAATAAGGTGAACCTTAAAGTCAATCATACATGACTTGTTCACATGGGATGTTCATTAAGGCGAGTCTATAGCGGTTGCTGAGGGCAGCAGGTAGAATGGGGGGTGTCTGACAGTTGAGCTTAGTTTCACATAATGGATGGACTGTTTAAAGACAAAATTGTGCATGATATTTCCTCAATCTGTACACTTCAAACAGGTGGATTTTATGGTATGCAATTTATATGCCAGCAATGAGATATGAAAATGAGGTAAAAGGTAACCTATGAGCAAAATATGATATGCAAGGAAAGTTTTGTTTTGTTTGTTTTAAGGACAACAGAGATTTATGTGGTGGACCTAGAGTAAGAGCAAGGGAGATACTGTAGGGGAAGTGCAGGCAATGCCAACCAGACCAAGACCAACAGCAGATTTTAGGGAAAGGTCTGGACAGGAGGGAGAGCCTTTTTCTGAGTCAAAATATGGAAAGGAATTTGTATAAGAACAAAGGAGGAAAAAGTGAGCATTCCCTATTTGATGGCCTACGAGAAGGTAATGTAACGTTCTGAAGTGATGAACTTGGTACTTCACTTTAATGCTGACGGTGAGACAAACGTAGAGCATAGACCAGGAGGTTGGAGGTATAAGAAATTTAGGGTCCAGCTGGATTGAAATCAGATCTGTAAAGCATCCAGTCAGGAAGTTTGTCCTGCAGCCCTTCCCTTCTCTGATAATGCCTCAGAAAAAAATGGGGAAGGGGTTAAAGTTGTATAAAATTGTATTTGAAACTGTAGAATGCAGATTCCTCCTGTTGTGATAAAAGAGCACACATTTAATTGGGTATTAAGAACTCAGCCACTATTTATTTATGCTAGTCACAAAGCAAGTAAATCTTAGTAAGGCATTAGAAGACATGCCCTAGAAAAATATTTCACTTTATCAAGATTATTATTTAAAAATATCTTTAGTCCCTCCCCCTTCCTTAGCCTCCTTTCTCTAAATTTTATTTTGAGACAAAGTCTTGGTAAAATGGCCAGGTTGGCTTTGAACTTTCAGCCTTCCTTGTTCTCCATTGTCTGGGGATTACAGGCCTGTGCTCACCAAACCTGGCCTACATGCTGAGACTCTCAAAGAACTCATAGGAGGTACTGAAGCATGTGAAGTTTCCTATTGAAATGCAATTCTCCGATATAAACAACACTGTTAAAAGAAAGTACCATTCTTGGGTGCTTTATGGATAAGAAAACTTGAGTTCATAGTCTAGAGTCTAGAGATCCAAAATCAGGATTCCAAGCCAGGGCACACTTTGTTGGATGTTCCTTCTTCTAGCTACAGACTCTTAGCTGTGGATCCTAACATTGCTGGTGGGTCAGAGAGCTCTTAGAGGCTGCTCCTACCAGGGTACTGGTCCCATTCAAGAGGACTTCACCCTCATGACTTAATTACCTCCTTAACCATCACCTGGGGATTAGGATTCGAACATCTGAGTTTGGGGGGAGTCACAAACAATGCCCATTACATGGCCTAACCAAGGGGTCTTAAAGAGACCCAGAAGGAAGGCTAGAGCAGTTTTTAAACCAAGAAACACTTCAGGAACATAGGAATGCTTGCTGAGAATGCAATTTCCTTGGCCTCTTCCTCATAAGCACTGTGAATTGGGCACTCTGGGGAGGCTGCCCACACATTCTATATTTTTAACCAGGTATAAAGTTGATGCTGGTGTTAGGATCCTGAAGTTTATTTAATCAAGCAGGGATTTAAACTGATAATGGTGAGAGCATGGAAAAGAGATTTATCAACATCAGAGGGCAGCGGCCTCAGGAGGGATTATAACTGGGCAAAGTAAGTTCCATGTTTTCTGGGCTCCATTATTCAGAGTCCTTGGCCTTTTAATGCCCCAAGCAATTCACACCTTATCTTCAAATATTTTAATGTGCTGGCAAAAGAGGCCTTGTTTAATTTGTGGGAAAACTAACAAAGCTATAAACAGGCATGGAAAGACTAACCAGATTTCACAGGAAACAAAACCCGGTAGAAGTGTGTGTCAAAAGTCACCCATCTTTCTCAATTCCTTGTTTTCCACCTAAGAGGCAGGTCTGTTCTTCAGAGCCTTCCCTGCACTGCACTTCCTCCAAAGTCGATTTAGTAAAAGTGCATAAACCCATAAACATGGCCACAGCCTTATTTAAAGGTATGACTTGCATTCTTAACATCACTCTGCCATTAGATTATTTTTTAAGGTGTAAGTTTTTCTATCACACACACACACACACACACACACACACACACACACACACACACAGAGAGAGAGAGAGAGAGAGAGAGAGAGAGAGAGAGAGTTCCAACACCATTAGCTAAAACTTTGCTAGGTTTTCACATGGCTTACACACACACACACACACACACACACACACACACACACACACACACACACACACACACGTTCCAACACTATTAGCTAAAACTTCGCTAGGTTTTCACATGCCTCCCACACAGACGCACACAGTTCCAACACCATTAGCTGAAACTTTGGAGTCCCCGGAACTCCTCCCGAGTCCTGCAGAGTGTCTAGGTCGCCTGTGGGACCTACATTGCCCAGGGGCAGAAGGCTAGGGGTCCTCCCTTCTGCGGCCGCCCAGAAAGTCCGGCTGCGTCCGGGACGGGGCGGGGCGGGGCGGGAGGGGGGAGCGGGCTGCTCCACGTCGGCGGGACTGGTGGGGGGGAGTGCGGCTAGAACCGGCGCGGGAGACTTAAAGCCCCAGGCGTAGTTAACCTTGGGTCCGTCCAGGAAGAAGAGAGAAACTCTGTTGAGTCCAGCTCTGCCGGCGCTGTGGCGCGGGAACAAGGAGCAGAACTTTTTTGGAACTTTATGCTCGCCCTGTCCCCCGGCGCGCGGGCCCGATGGTCCGCCCCGGGCCCAAGGAGGCCAGGCCCGCGCCTCTCGCCTGGACTAGCCGAGCCGCCGCCCCCGGCTTGGCAGGCTGGGCGGGCGTTGTCGCCCTGAGAACCGTGGCGACGACGTGCGGCGGCATGGACTACCTGACCACGTTCACCGGCAAGAGCGGCCGGCTGCTGCGGGGCACGGCCAGCCGCCTGTGGGGGCTCGGCGGCGGCGGCGGCGGCGAAGAAGCTCGGCAGGTGCGCTTCGAGGACTACCTGAGGGAGCCGGCTCCGGGCGACCCCGGCTGCGGGCCCACCGAGCATCGGCCACCCTCGCCCGACAGTCCCTTGGGACCCGGTGAGTTCCCTCCGTCCCTGCGTCGCCTCGCCTCCCTGCGCGCGGACGGACAGACGGACCGGGCCGGGGGGCGGCGCCACGCCGAGGGGCGCGGGCAGGTGTGGGAGTCGGCCGGGCAGGTGTGCGAGCCCTGCAGGCTCGCAGCTGCCCTTCCTGGCGACCCTTCCTGTCCCCGGGACGGGCGCCACCGACTTGTCCCGGTTCGGTGTGTGGGATCCTTCCTCTGCTCAGCCTCCTCCAAGCAGTTGTGACGTGCACGGAGTTAGACTTCCAGAACGCCGTTGTCTGCTCGGCCTTTGCTTGGGTCACTCAGTTTTTACTTTTGGTGCGTGCGTTGCCAGCTGCCAGGGCGACTCGTTTCCTAACTTGAAACAAAACAAACACAACAAAACAAATGGCACTTTGTAATCGAAAGCGCTTCCCTCATCTGGAAACCTAAGCTGAGTTTTGTTTTGCACCGAGTAAGTTTTCTTGAGGCCGAACCTGGGAACTTGGCGCACTTATTTGCATTGAACTTTGTGTTCTTTCTCTCTTCCACCAGGGCAGCTTTTAGGCTACTCTTTAAAGCCCTTGTGGTGGCATGATACTGAGCCCCCTGGCTGAGAAGTGTAAAGTGCCTGCATGTATATTTTGGTGTAATGCATATGGTAGTTCTTCCAGCGTCATTGGCTTTCCGTGGGATCAGTCATTCATATATATTTTTTCAACCTGTCTTCACATGTTTAGCGGTGCTTCAAGGGTGGATATATGACCATTTCAGTTTCAAAAGTGGAAATACAGATTCCATAAAGTTTATCCATAACCCCGCACAGCTATTCATTTTGAAGTAATGTGTATTCACCACTGTGTGTGTGGGTGTGTATCCTGAAGAAACTGGATTTGGAAAATCTAGTTTCAGCACGTCCCTTAAAAATTATCTTAACATTGTGTCCTCTTTCACTAGAATTTCAGTTTTTCTGTTTTTGAAATTAGAAAAAAAAAATAAAAAGGGGATGGGTAATTTTGTAAAGTTATTGGCTGGATTAAGAATTCTTTTAAAATTAAGACAAGGAGCTGGGCAGTGGTGACATATACCTTTAATCGCAGCACTCAGTAGTCAGAGGCAGTCGGATCTTTATGAGTTTGAGGGCAACCTGGTCTAGAGAGCCAGTTCATTCTAGGACAACTAGGGTTACACAGAGAAACCCTGTCTCAGAAAACCAAAAAACAAACAAACCCAAAAGTTAAGACCAGGAATGAAGAATAGTAACTTGAAATGTCTGAGTAGAGAATTTTGTTGAAGACAGTTGCAATATTGACCAGCATCTGAATGTGATTATATAATATGTGGGGATTACCCAGCTAGAAAGGGGTGAACTAATATCTAAAAGATATGCACAAACACATACAAATCTTTCATTCCTGAACTCTGAGCACCAATGACATTTTCCTTCAGAATTAGTTTCAGAACCTATATGATGCCTCTTCTGCTGAAACTGCTTATGAATTTATTGCACTTATTTTTAAGGCTTATGCTGCCCCAGACCTCACAATTTGAAGGGGCCTTGGGATATCATGGCAGTGTGACCACAGGGAATGGATGGGTTGACCCTAGCAATAATTTAGGAAGGAACTGAATTCACGTTACCAGATCCCTTTAGGCCTGTGCTTCCTTGTTTGTGAGTGAGGTGGGATTAAATAATCTCAGGTTTTCCACTCTGTCAATTCTTATCATTTGGAGCAAAGCTAGTGAAATTGGTGGATGACAAAGCTAGGAAGCAGCATGTTAGACACATGGCATGTCTGTCAAGTTTTGAGGCAGACTTCAGAAGACAGGACAGGAAGTTAAGTGCCCTACCAACAGTTTGATTATTCTCAATGTTACCATGAGTAGTTGCTGTGGACACAGCTTCTTCGCAGGGGAGCACCTGACCAGCAGGCATAGATTAGTACATTTTCCTGATTCTGAGAGGCAACATGTGTACATTTGTATAAAGCAAACCATACTTTTAAGATTTCTAAGCAGTCTTCATTTGCAAGGAGAATTTTGTTCCTTAGGCCATCCTTGCATCTATGTCCTTTATTTAGGACCTGCTGTCCTTTGAAATAGGTCTGTTGTTTCTTACAGCTGACATTTCCACATGCCTGTCTTCTACCTTGAAAAGTACCTTCAGCAATGTGTCTATTGCAGACACATGTTTCCTGTTAGAGACACTTGCATTCCTATATATAGGTTGTCTGCAGTCTGGAGCCTGGAGCCCAGTTTGTTGCTGGAAATCTTGAGTCTTGCCATTTCAGGTAATTTTGCCATAGACAGTTGAGAGAGAGACCAGGGAAAACTTAGGCTGACACTTTGCTTTTGCATTTTCTGCTAGCCTCCTACATATCGGCTGCTGGAGTTACTGTCGCCTTGAGTCCTCTCGGGGCAGCTGTCTTCACTTTCATCTGCTTCTGGCTTTGCAGTTAAATCTCCTCAGGAAAATGGTAATTAAGACACAGTTGGGACACAGTAAGGATGCTATCACATTGTTCTCAATAAAAATTACAAAAGAGACATATTGTAATGCATAATTTAAAACATGCTCCCACTTTAAACACTGTTCTCATTGGGGTTAGGAGAGTAACCTACATCAGTGGTTCTCAGCCTCCCTAATGCTGTGACCCTTTAATACAGTCGTCCCCGTTCTCCCCTTCCCTCCCCCCCCCCCACCATGTTGTGGTGACTCCCAATCATAACATTATTTTGTTGTTATGGTATAACTATACTTTTGCTACTCTTGCTAATCATAATGTTAATCTATGTTTTCTGATGGCCATTCTGCCACACAGGGGTGACAACCCATAGGTTGAGAACCACTGGCTTACCCTTTATAAATATGTACTAAACCACATTGTAGTAACTCCAGACCAGTGGATTTGACAAGTTAATATAAGCATCAACTATTGCCAAAACTCTGTTATTTCAACCCATTTTCCCAGTTGATGACAGTATCCTTTAAATAGCACCATTTAAAGTTGCTTTTCATTTACCTTCTGGTAGCTAACAGACTATGTTTAACTTAATCATCTTTATTTTACAGCCTCAATCACAGATTCTAGGAGTGTAGCACTTGAGCAGTAGACTCCAGGCCCTGAATTCAATGCTCAGCAATGCAAAATTGATAGTCCAACTGGGTGTTTACGTCAGGGTTCCGTTGTCTTCCTACCGTGTCTACTTCCTAGATTAAGTTGGATCTGAGGTGGGAAGGGGGTCTTGTTTACCTCTCCCAAATGTCTCCTTCTTCCCAGCTCAGTACTCCTCTGTTAGAAGACACTGAAGCTGGCTCCCTTGTCCATCATGGTCCTTTTACTTCCCTTGCCTGGGAAGGTAGTAGAGGATAGCAGAGGTAGGTAGGGTAGTCATGGAACCATGTTTGCTACAATGGCTGTTGTCATGTCTCTAAGTTCTGATCTCAGTAGTGAGCAGTTTCTTCAGCCTTGAAAATGGGCCAGCAGCAGTTTTAATCCCATTCATAGACCTCAGCTGTGCACTGCTGACCTGGACATGAAGCCATTTATAACGTTATATGTATGTATAGAGCTGATGAAAAATAATTCAATAAAGAGGGTGTGGATAAAACCCAAAGATTTTGAATGGATTCATTCTTAATTCTTCTGTTTCAAAGTTATTTATTTTGATTTGGGTAATTTAACCTGTCTCTCAATTTGCTAAAAATTTTATTGACTTTTATATCTGTGCTTTGGAAATAGAGAGTAAAGAAGAAATGGTTTGCATAACTGTCAGGGTGCTTAATTTGAGAAACAAAACAAAAAGTTGTATCTCGTTGACTTGGATTTGAATGCTAAGGCCACTGAAATAAATGCTGTGACAGAATCTGATTTACTTTTTGGCTGCTAAAATCCTGTCTGCTAAATCTTGTACCTGAAAGAGAATTGTTTGTATTGCTGGCTCTGTTTTCCATTCCAACTATGCAGAAAGTCTGTGAAATACTACTAATTCCAGCCAGTGGTCTGCATTGAGAATGGCCACTCTTGAACTTTAAGGCCACTATTAAATAATGATTCAGCAACAGTTGATCTGATTGGGTAGCTACTGATTAATGGCTGAGTGGTGTCCACAGGGTAGGTGCACTGGGCATAGGGAATGTTTGTAGGTAGGATGGTGATGTTAATTTCATTCTACTACTTAGCCTGGCATGAAACTTATAGCCTGTATAGTTTTGCATTGTTACTGTCTTCGGACTGTAATTGGCAGAGGACCACTAAAACCTCAGAGATTGATAGGGCAGATAAGGGAGAGGACCTGCCATCAGAGTCCTTTTGTGTAGTCACAAGCAACCTTATCATTTTTACTGCATGACTGGTGCTACTGTAGAAAAGGGAATATGTTTGAAGAACAAGTACAAATGCCAGAGATTAAATATTTGTTTTTGTTTACTGGTAATTAATCAAAAGAGCGAAACATGCTCAGATAGGAATCAGTATCCCGAAGACAAAGATCAACCTATTGATTGGGCATCCAGAATAAACACAGTTATTTCTTGTTTTACAAATAAATAGAAGAGACTCTGTAAAATAGCAAAAGTAAATAAAACAACCACCGAAAAGTAACCCTCACTTTCCATAAAGATTCTAATTTCAAAAGCTCTATTTTATTTTATTTTGTTGAATATTTATTTATATGTGATGTGTGTGCTTATATGTATGCATGTTTGCCTGTGTGGGCTCACATTTGTGTCCACTGTATTTGGAGACCAGGGTTGATGTTGGGTGTCTTGTGCAGTACCTCTCCACTCCATTTACTGAGGCAGAACCTCCCTGAGCTCGCAATTTCCTCTAGTCTGGCTAGCCATCGTGCCTTAGGATCTCTTCACTTCCCAGAGCATGGGATTCCAAGTGGGCTGTCCTACCCAGCAAGCCTTTACATTCGGGGTAAACACTCAGCTTCTCAATACTTGCCCAAGAAGCATGTTTGCTAGCCTAACCACCCCACCCATAGCCCTTCCAAAGGTCTGTTTACAAACACTTCTGTGTAGTCAGTGGTGATGGTGCCATAGCTCTGTATAGTGACCAAAAAAAAAAAAAAAAAAAAAAATCCAGGTATGCACTTAGTCTCAGGGTCTCTGAGTGGAAGGTAGGGTTGAGGGACTTAGGTTTCAAGTTACAGATTTTAGATTATTTAGTGAAGCCTCTTTTGTAACGATGAAAATGTTTTGTGGTGATGTCCGTATGATAGTTATTAAGTAAATATGGCTAACTCATTTTAAATGTGGTAAGTTTGGTCTTTAAAAATCACATTGAGTACTTTGGCTTCTGGATTCCATATCTGCACTAGAACTTTTTATTTAGTATTTTCAGTTTATAATTGGCAGTGGTAGCTCAAACATTTACCTACACGTCAAAAATGCTGGATTCAATAAATGCAATGATAGCTAATGGTAAAGGTAAAATTCAAGGATATTTTTTGAATAGTAGTTAGAAACTTTATTTTGGATTATTACATAATTTTAGAGACCCATCGATGTGAATTTTGAGTGTGTAGGAGATTCTGTCCCTTTCCAAATAGAGCTGGGGCAATGGAGTTCATAAGCAGGGTAGGGCGGAAAAGACCAAGGACCACTCACCAGACCCTGCTGACATCATGGGCAACTCTATAATGGAGAGCCTGCCCAGATGTGGAAGGAGATTGATTGATTAGCCATGCAGGACACGAGTGAGGGGTGGGGTGGACAGAAGGTCCTGTTAAGCTGTTACACTTGTTACACTGAATTAGCACAGTTCGGAAACTGGATTTTAGAAGTAAACATATAAGACTTTGTGTGTGTGTGTGTGTGTGTGTGTGTGTGTGTGTGTGTGTGTGTGGAACTGGTCCATCTAGAGAGAAGCTCTACAGCTATATATTCTAAAGATTGCACTTTGGAAATCAATTTAACCTAAACATTCAGAGACATTATTAGTGGAATAAGCATTGTTGCAGGAATCTTTTCTGAGTGGCTAGGTAGAAAGGGGCTGTGCTTAATGAAAGATTGTATTGAAAGGTCTTTCTGATTTCAAAGCATTAGCAAATTGGTATTGTTAGAATCCTACAAATTTTTAGTGGAACATGTTAAATAAGTTTTTTTTATGACATATGTTGTTTCATCTGCTATTTTTTCTTCTTTTTATAACCTGGTATTTTCTCACTATTATCTTATATGTTTATAACATTCAGAATTAGTTTTACTAATCACCTTTTTATAATTTATTTTGGATCAATAGACTTTTTTATTGTATGTTCTTTATTTCTGGGGTTCTCATTTTGATATGACTGCTATGATTTAAGCCTTGTGGCATCGAATGATAGTTTTACTGAGTGCGATCCAAACTGTTCACTTTCCCTCTAGTTGATTTGCTTTTTCATGCATGAATTATTGAATAACTCTTTGTTATTTCATGCACAATGATTTAATCTGGGACAAAAACAGGAATAGGTTTGTGGGCATGAATAGAGTGTGTGCAGAGGAATCTTTTAGGACTTGCATCTTTTTTCCAGGATTTGTGTGGATGGAGGATCAACTGTGTGAGAGTCATCTTTGATTGGAGATACAGGAAAAGGAAAGCTATAAAAATGTCCGTTCTGTGTACCCATTACTCATCTGACATGTGGTAGGTAGCACGGGAGGAGCAGAGATGCCCTCCCCCCACCTCCCACCTGTCAGTGCCCTGCCGTCATAAGAGCAGGGGGGCTGCCACTACCCCTCACCAGCTGTAGTGCTCAGGAGAGTGGCCCCTGCACCTCACCTGGGAACACAGCAGAGCTGGCCCTAATGGTGCAGGTGTGGGAAAGCTGACCCTAGAGACTGGAAAACAGAACTGGCCGGCCCCTAACTCCTTGCTCCAAGAGGTGAATTCTTGTGAGGAGGAGACAGTGCTGGAGAGCTCACCTTGGTGGTGAGGATGGGGAGAACTGTCTGCCCAGCCAACCCTACAGCTGCCCAGGACCAGATCCAGGGTTATGAATGACCCACCCACCATCAGCCCCATCTATGATCTGCTGGAGCATGTGACCTGACCCACAGACCTAAAGCTGTAGGATCTCCATGATTCAGGGCAACAGCAGGATATCCAGAAAAAGCCCCAGTGAGGGGCCAGCATTGATAGGGTAGCAGTATCCAGGGGCATTGAGCCAGACCAATGACTCTTTGCAATGAACACTTGCAAGGAAAGATATACGGATAAAGGGGTTTAACACAAGAGTCACTGTGTCACACTGCAGCTTCCATGGCGAGATTTTTAATTCCTTTCCTTTTTTTCTCTTAGGTTTTGCTTTATTTGGGGGAGAGGGGTGGAGGGATGGCAGAGAGCAGGTGCAAAGGGACAGGGCAGTGAACGGAATCAAGATACATGATGTAAAAGACACACAGAATAAATAAAATTAATGTCAGCTCTAACAATCTCCTGGGAAGACATATTTCTATTCTTTTTCCTTTGGACAAAGGAAGTCATAGCAGTGTCTGACACCAAAAGAATGACCAAATTTATTTTTTATTTCACCACAGGAAGGGATATGAGATGATCTATAGTTTTATTTTGCATTGCATTTTTGGCTCCCTCTGTTGGTTAGTTATGAAGCAGTGGATGTAATTTATTTTCTCATCCAGACAAGCAGTTGATATATATTTCAGATATGTATGGGAAGGCTAAAATAATGTTACAATGGGCAAAATTTACATTCTTTTTAAGAATTTTAGCATTTTGCACTCCACCAGAAATATGGGCCAGTGCCATTTTTCCTATAGACAGTAAGTAAGTAAGTGTTTGAATTTTTTACCCAATCTGGTATGTTAGAACCGATATCTCACTGTGGTTTAAATTTGTACTTCACTGGTTGTCTGTGAATCTCAACGTCTCTGACTATGTGTCATGTGAGCTGTCTGACCTTGTCTCTTACCCATTGTTTAGTTTACACTTGGGTTTTCATATTCCCCCCCAGATGCTTAAGATACAGAAGTAAAAATGTGTCTGTTTCTGTGTGCACACTTATCTGCCCTGTTCCTTATCGCACCTTTTAGCACTTAGTTATATATTTATGCATGCATCTATGTATCTATGTATCTAGATTTGTACCTGCTGACCTATCTCTTTGTCCCATATCTCTCTTTCCCTTTTGGAACATTTATGGTAGTTATGAGAATTGCTAGTAGTACTAGTTTAAATTGTTGTGTCAGAATATTAGTCCATCTAAACAAGCTGTTTTCCTTATTGCAGACCCTTTGTTACTGAAGTGACTTTGTAGAAGGAAGCAAACCTATATTTTGGAAGTTATAGTTTAATGGGAAAGTTTAAAAACACAGATGGCAATTTTAAATCTATAGCAGAAGTGAAGATGTATAGTTTTGTAATTGATAGCAGTTGGCCTTGTTGATCAGGAATTTTAAGACAGTTTTAATTTTTCTGCATTGGCTTTTGGGTGATTCAGATATTACTCTTTATTATTATTTAAACGGTTTATCTGACAACTGATGTAATGCTCACACATAAATGCATTCTAGTGTAGTCAGTATCACTAAAGTTTGGATAGCAGGAGAACCACGAACCCTGCATTTTCCCAGATTACTTTAGTTTCAGAACTAATCTCTCTTGGAGAGTGATTTTAAATCTGGGTCAGTATAGTACCTGGATACATTTACGATCCATCTTGTTTAATGCTGACACTTTGAACTTAGGGTTTTCCTGTCAGTCATTTAAGATGCTTGGACATCTTCAGTACCACTTCAGTACATTTAGTCATTGCTGCTGGGAAGATAGATGAGAAGACTAACACGCACCCATTTCAGACTGATGCCAGTAGCTCACTGCTGCCAGAGACAGAAGGGCCACATGAAATCTCTTGATAAACATTGGAAAAAGAATTAACATTTGACCTAAAATTAGCATTGTGTATTGTACCATGAGATGACTAACTTTATGACCAATAGAGAACTTTTCTTGTGCAGATTAATGGCATCTTTTGCAGACATCAGTTGATAATAGTAACAACAACAACACCTCTCTAAATTAGTGAGTTGTATGTCTGGCTGGGAGTGCCCTCCTGCAATTGCTGGCATTACTCTGAAAGGAAAATGAATTTATCAGGTGTTTTGCTTTGTTTTTCTTAGACACTGGCCAAAAGAAGACCCTAGACAAGAAAGATGGGCGAAGAATGTCTTTTCAGAGGCCTAAGGGAACGATGGAGTATACTGTAAGTTATTTTGCCAAAAGCAGTTTACCTTTGTAACAATTTTACTAAAGGCATTTCCTGTCTGACTGCAGATGAGCCAAGTATTGTTAATTGCCTCACTTTAAAAGTCCGACTTCTTTTGTGTAACTTTCCTGAACACTAATCCTTCAATTCTTAATTGCATTTTATGATTTGTTTTCCTCACTGTGTTCTAGAAAGACAGTTACTCCAGGAAATTAAACTTAATCCTGATGATGATTTAGAGTCAGAGTTCCTATGCTGCAATAGTTTTATTAGATTAGGCTTTTAGGACAGTGTTTGCCTTTTTAGGAATGTTGTCTTGATTGGGTCCCCTGCAGTGCTAATGGCAGACGGGGGATGTCCCAGGCTGAGTAAAACTGGGTTTTTCTCCTCTTGAGAAGACCCTCAGATCTCTGTTGACTTTTTTTTTTTCTCATTTCTGGTTACTGTGGACCCCCAAAGTGACAGTTTAATTTTGGAGTGTGCTGTTTCGTTTACTTCGTTGGCCATAAACATGATTGATTTAGATGGTGCTAAACATGTTGTAAGGCAAATATATGAATTCAGATTAATGTTACTTTTTAAAAACATATTATAACTGTATTAGGAGAAAATAGCAGTCTTCCATGTAATTAACTCCTTCAGTGTTCAGACCTTCCAGCAAGTCTAAACTAGTTACCATGAATTCTTAAGCATTATCAAAATTTGAGTTATATGTATATATGTATGATATATATATATATATATACTGTATATTATATATACTGTATAATTGACATTTGTCATATTAAGTGTTTTTAAAAGGCTAGAAACTACTTATTTAGAAATTAACTTCTGTCAAAAGAATTGGATTTTAAAGCCCATTGCTGGTCCCAGGACAACCTCCAAAGCCACAGAGAAACCCTGTTTCGAGAAACCCTGTCTCGAAAAACCAAAAGAAAAAAGCCAAAAACAAAAAACAAACAAAAAAATCAACCCTAGATTATGCATGTTTGTGTCTAAATGGTTGAAGTGAGAAAATGAGTTCAAATAGTAAAAGGTTAAGTAATATAATTTAGTATATTCTTAAATATTTACAAAGACATAAGATTTGAGACATAAGGTATATTATTATGCTATGCAGATGTACATGACATATTTTTTGATGTTCATGAACTGTAAGATTTGAACTTAAGAATTTGCCATTCTTGGCATGTAATAAAACATCTGAAGCAAAATTAAAATAAGCACCTTTTATTGTGGTGTGAGGGCAGGCCATGAAAACCTGAAAAAAATTTCCTTCCTTTATGAGTGACTCTTTAAAAACTTGCATACTGGCTAACAGTCATAAAACACCTTACAGGTCTTCTTTATTTATTTTTATTACATATGTCAGTTTTTAAAATGAAGAAACACAAAATTCAAAGCTAGATATTGTTTTTATACTGTTTTTCTATAATCTTTGAAATACTTACATAAAGTCAGTCAAATCTTTACATAAAATGACTGTATTGGCTGCAGTATACATTTCCATTTATTTTAGATAAAGCTTCTATATCACAACGTGCTGTGGAGGCTGAGGCACGATTATCTGAACCCAAGAAGATCTCTGTCACACACACATTCTCCCTCTCTCCCTCCCTCCCTTCCTCCCTCCCTCCCTCTCTCTCTCTCTCTCTCTCTCTCTCTCTCTCTCTCTCTCTCTCACACACACACACACACACACACACAATACAGTTTTAATTGTGAAATCACTTTCAATGGGAATTAAAGTGGGCCATAAAGATGCTGTCCTTGCAGACTGTCTGGGAGTGGCTCAGTTGGTGAGCACCATCCTTGTGAACATGTGGAGGTGGCTCAGTAGGTGAGCACCGTCCTTGTGAACATGGGAATCTTATTTCAGATCCCTAGAACCCATGGGAAAAGCCAGGATACAGTGTGTGCCTGTAACTCAGCAGAGGGAAGGTGGGGACAGGCAAGTCCCCAGAGCTTGACGTCCCGCCAGAACAGTTTGATCAACCTGAACATCAGCAAGAGACTGTGTTTCATAATATAAGATGAAAAACACTCACAGAAGACACTGTTCATTGACCTCTGTCCTCTGAGACACATTCATGTACACATATGTACAGATACATATACATGTATATTTACAAACTAAATACATATTCAGAATATCATCCAATTCTTCAATCCATTTACCTTTTCTCTTTGCTGTTTATCATTCCATCCTTCCAACTTTTACATTATCTGTCCTTTGGTTATTTCTGTTAAAGTTTCAAGTGATATGCAAAATAATCAGCTTCATTATGGAATTGTCATACATATGTGTCATTATATTCTTTGTTGTAATTGATTTCCCATCCCAAGCACCTCTTACCCTCTTCTGGCTAGTTCCCGTCTTCCTCCAGACAGTACCCTATGCACTGTATTTACCTCTTCCCTTTCCTTAGGACCCCTCTCCTCTTTAGCAGGTCCTTTATAGTCTCCTGGCCCATGCTTTTGTCTTTCCTCTCTAGCATGTCCTCTCTACTTTTCTGACCCATGACACAGATGGGTTGTTAGTTTGTTTTTCTGTTCTTACCTTCCCCGGGGCTTGTATTTTCTGCCTTCACTTCCTGTTTTGGAAATTGTAGCTGCTCTCTTCCATCCTTTTACAATACTGAATTTTCTTTGGATTTCTAACACATGTGTGATGGGAGTATGTGTACATGAAGCAAGTTTACTCACACCCATGGAGCTGGAGTTACAGACCATGTGAGCAGTCTGACTTCTGGCCCTGTGCAAGAGCAGGACAAGAGCCCAACCAGCAAGGCCACTCTGCCAGTTATTTTAATTCTGTTGTAAAGTGAACATGCTTGAAAAGTTTTAGTTTGTATTTGGAAACTGCTTGAGTTGATGGTCAGTATGGACTGTGGTAAAGCATGTGTTTTACCATGCCTACTGCCTTAGTAGGTTGAAGTTATTGTAGAATGTGATATTTTTTAGAGCATCTTCTCAGAAATTACCATGTTTTAATCAAACATAAGATTGTTTTCAAGATTTTAATATTAAAATTATGTAATACCTCAATCTTATAATTTAATATTTCTGTTTTAACAGATCAAAGTAATCTATTTTTCCTTTAAACAGGTTGAATCAAGGGATTCTTTGAATAGCATAGCCCTGAAATTTGATACAACGCCCAATGAACTTGTTCAGCTAAATAAGTTATTCTCCAGAGCAGTTGTGACTGGGCAGGTATTGTTATTATTTAAATGTATTGATATTTCAAATTATTAGATAAAGTTATTCATTTTTATATAATTAACAATGTAGAAAATATAAGAATAATATTGTTGTGTTTCTGAACAAATCCTATTGGCCAGATAAGAGTACAAGTTACATCTGTCAATTCTATGTTTAAAAACAAACTGAAAATAATTGTAAGTTTTGTTTCAAATATAGTCTTAAGGAACTTTTAAACATATTTAAAGCAGTTCATGTAAATTGACAGAATTCCAATGATTTTAAAGGTAAGCTATCCTTAAATCTCTAACTTGCTTTCTGGAAGCAAGGGAACAAATTGAATCTTTAAGAACCAGTCTAGCCTATGTCAGGGGATCAGGGGATTTTGTTTCTGTTTTGAAGTTTGTCTGTGACCCTTAGAACATGTTCTGTGTGAGTGCAGCATTCTGACAGCTTTCCTTGTCTGCGATGATGACAGCGTTGATATGTCATTGTGTAACTAGTCACACAGTAAGGCTTAGTTTATTGCTGCTCGCCTGCTAACGTTAACAGTGATGTAGTGAACACTTGTATATGTCTATTTTATATATACTTCACAATATATGAAATTGTTGGATGAAGGAAATATGTATAGTTAATTTTTCTAGTTGTTGCCAAGTTGCCTTTAAAATGAACACATACAGTAATAGAGAGTTTTTTTTCTGTGCTATTCAACAGCTTGTTTTAATAACCATTTCTAAATTAATTAGTTTTGAAGTTTTTATTTTTATACTTATTAATATGATATAGTATTCTACACATATAATCTGATTTTTTTACTGGTGAAGATCACTATCAAATTATGCTTGCTTATGGAACATCATTTGGCCACTTGTACTTGTTTTCCTGAATCTGTATATGAACATCTTGCAGGTTTTATACGTCCCTGACCCTGAGTATGTCTCCAGTGTTGAGAGCTCACCATCTCTGAGTCCAGTCAGTCCTCTGTCGCCAACATCATCTGAGGCTGAGTTTGATAAAACCACTGTGAGTATGCTGCTTCCAACCTTTGCTGTGTAGACAGACATATGCTGTGTACATGTTACTCACCCGGCGTTTTTCTCACTCTGCCCAAAATGTCCGTACTTAAAGTGATATTAGATCCTTTTATTTTGTTAAAAGTGTTTAGCTTGGATTGATAGCCCTTTGGCGTAATGGTCCAAGGCAGTCATCATTTCTGTCTTATAAATATCATAAACTTAATTTTTCAGGGAATTATACCTAAAAACCATGAGATAAGATCATATCCAATTTGAATATTTACTTTCTGGAATCTGCATTTGTGTGTATATGTTTGTGTGTGTATGTACATGCATGGGCACATGACACATGCACACTAGTACTTGGAATTCTTTATGAGTTCATTTTTAATGCACTGCCGTTAAAGTATGAGAATTTGTCATCCTAACTAATCCTTTCAGGATTAAGATAGTACACCAGTTTATTCAGCAATTGTAAGGAGAAAATATTCTAGGTAAGCTAGGTTTACAAATGAGTTTTAAGAAATCAAGTTAAAAATTAACATCTCTCCAAAAAGAACTTTTCCTGTATTACCTTACACTGATCATAATTTTCCATCTCATAGTGCTTATTGGTTACTAATTGAACAGTTTTAACTTCAGTGCTTTCAGGTATAAATCTGAATCTCAGAATATATGTACTTTATGTTAAATCTGAGCCAGTTATTATAAGATTATTTTAATAATTTTATGCAATATATAAATGCATAAATAACATAAGTGGGATGTGATATTTTTCAACTTTAAAATCAATGGTTTATTAGGCAGTCATGCTTTTAAAGCATGTTTAAATTTTTTTTAGATTCATTTACTTTCTCTTTAATGTGTTTTAGTACTTTACCTGCCCATATGTATGTGCACTGTGTATATATATGCTTTGCCTCCAGAGGTTAGTAGAGGGCATTAGGTCCCCTGGAACTAGAGTGTCAGATGGCTGTAAACAGCGCATGGGCTCCTCTGTAGTGCTCCCCTGGGATATGTTTTCAAGAGATTATACTGCAATCGCACCTTGGTTTTAAATTCTCTGAATAAAGTCTCATGGTTAATGTATGATGAAATATAATATTACAGTTAGGATTTTGTATTTAGATTTTAGGAAACTCATTCTTTATAGAAGATATTTCCATATTTAACACCACACAAATAGATAAATTACAAAGTGACAGTTTTCTTCTGGAATTTAGATGGGAGCCTCTTTCTGTAATTATCATTTAAAAGGTGAGATTTCAACTCTAGACAAGGAACTACAGGAGACCAAGGGATGTTGAGAATGGGAGAAATCATCTTCCACAGGAAGAACACACCAATTGGTTATCTAATACCAAAGGGACAGTCCTGAACACATACATGCAAGTAACATCATACAGACTGAGAAGTTTGTAGTTGTGTGTTTAGGAATATATATGTGTATACATATATAGAAGTATGTATAGCAACAGTTAAAAAGAGGCCATGCATTTGAAAGAGAAAGAGAGGATAGGATTTAGAGAGAAGAAAAGGAAAGTGATGTAATTATAATCTCAAAAAATTATTTAAAAATATCATTTTTCTTTTAAACTGTGATGAAAAGCTCAGTCAGCTCTAAAGCCAAAACGAATCCCTTACAATTTTACTGCATTTTTATTCACCTAAAAAAATTGAATTTTTTAAATTTCATTCTGCATCTTGTTTTTAACTTTTCTCAACTCTTTGATTAAGAAGTAGAATAAAAATAAACTAATAATGAGTAAATATAACTTACAGAAAGGGGTAAATGATTTTATTGAAGATTTTAAAATTTATATAGCGTGTATATATTGGATGAAATAAATACGATATTATTTATTTCTGTACCTGTGTGGCTTTTCTTCCTCAGACATCCTGTGTTTTACCTACATGTTACTAGAGAATGTCTGTAAGTTTTTACCTCATAAGTGCACAGACACAGCACAGCCTATGAGAAAGGAAGGACAAAGGTTGAACTTACTGCTGGTCTTTAGCTTTTCATAGATGACTATTTGGGGTAGTATTGATGCTAGCTAGATAGCTATATCTCTCTTCAAGGACCATTCTGTTCCTTGTAGCTAAAGCAAAATTACAAAGAACTATCGGAAAGCCGTCTAGCGAGCTTCAAAACCATTGAATCAAAAGCCAGACTCAGTTAAAATAATTCTCCAAAATGTTGATGGTGTACATAAGTTGTACTGAGATCTGATCACAGTCCACTGAACAACTGTGGTTCTTTTAGAAAGAAAAGTGTCTCTTTTGTGCTGCACTGATTCTCTTTAATAGGATTACATTGAAAGATTGGGATTGCTATAGATAGCAATTGAGTTATAGAATTTGAGGCCGGGGGAACCTCAGATCATGTGGCTCACTGAGGTATGTCTTCATTTAAAAAAAGCATTTAACAATATACTTTGTGCATATTTTTTTCTGTGAATAACACGGTTTCACAGTAGATAGTCATACTCATAGGAAATCAACATAATTAGGGAGTAGTCAACCATCTACAGATAGAGTTTGTCGGTAGCTCTTTGTCCACTTGTATCCCTTGATGATTGTTGATCTTCTGTATTTTGGGAGTGGAACATTTTATCTGTCATCTGGTGGAAGATGTGCAGTTATATTCACTAGTTCCTGTGAACATTGGCAACCTGGATTTGCATCTCAGTTTAATCTTGTTTGGCCAGTTATGGAATTTGAGTAAACATAAGTTTAAACCTAACCTTGTATGTTAGCTAAAAAGTTAAATGAGGGTATCTATATTTCACATACAGACAGGGATTTCATGAACAGCCATTGAAGTTATTATTAATATCACTTATTTAGTTAACTGTACTGACAGTATTTGTGTCTGACACAGAGCTTTTAGATACATGATAGCTACCAAAGACAATGGTAAGTGTATAAAGCATGAAGATATGAAAAGGTCAAGCATACCTTGTTAATCGATAATAGTTACATGCCATGTAACTATTACAATATATTTCTTTTATGTGGTGAATTTATCAGTAGCATTTAAAGTGTCTTTGAACTTGGAAAACATTTTAAGTAATTTTTAAAATTTTTAAAGTGCATACAGCAAATGGTAAACTAATACAGGGTATACTTTTAATTTTGTCCTTAGTATCTTAGGTATTTTCATAGCACTTTAGAATTGAAATCAGCTATTAGACAATGGTTGTATTCAGCATAGCTGTTAGAGTCAGCTCTACTTGTAATTGTCTAATGTGTTTTTGGAAGAGTATATTTACCATTTCATTTCCTATTTGTTTTAAATATTGTTATAATTGTGTTTAGTATAATTGTTTTTCTTCATGACTCTCTGTTTTAACCACAAAGTGACATTCTGAGGAGTCACATGAATGCAAGAATGGCCTGTAGTCAGATTGAACTGTCTGCTGTGCTGTAAGATGGGCACAGATGGACTTTTGGTTTTGAAGTTTAAAGTGTGCTTATGGAGTTGGGGTGTAGCTTAATGACTCAAGTGTTTCCCACCCAAGTGTAAGGACCAGAGTTCAGATCCCCAGAAATCACGCAGACATTAATTGGCATGGCAGCCTACCAGTAATTTCTACCCCAGAAGGCAGACATGAGGAGAGGGGAAGACCAGACACCTGGGTGAACTCTGGGTTGGATGGAGGCAATCTTCCTTAGTGAATGATCTGGAAAAGCAATAGAGAATAATTCATTGCTGACATCAGCCTCAGGCCTCCACATCTACAAGTAATACACATGTGCACAGAAGTATACCCACAGACTTGCAGACTTGTATGTACACATAGCCATATACACAGTTGAAAAACACTGTGCTGATGAGTACATCTTCTTGCTTGCTGTATTGTAGACACCACTCACTGGCCAGCTCTTCCCTTTCCCTGTGCTCTGGCACCTCACGGATGCCATGTTGGTGTTATCAAAACTAGTGCTTTAATTTACAAGTAGTTCAGCGTGTGTGTTGGGGTTGGGAGGAACACACATTACTTAGATTTTAGTGCTTTTCATATTGTTGTATATGCATATGTATATGTAAATATAATTCCTGTGCATCCTTGTACTGTCAGCACTCAAAATGCAAGTTTATGATATATTTGATATATTTAAAATCATCATTAAAAGTGGAAATACCATTATTATAATTAGTGAGAATTTGAGGGTTCTTTATCTTGAGAATGTGGTGAGAAGAAAAGAAAGCAGTTCTTACTGGGGAAAGTTATGGATTTCCCATCAACTATGTATTTATCTAGCTTACTAAGGCACTTTCTTTGCATTTTATTTTGCTTGGTTCAAGACTCCCGATGTTGTCCATTCAAAAGAAGCACTGCCCTCATCTACTGTTAGCAGTATTCGGCCTGCAAGAGTTGTGTCTTCAACCTCTGAGGAAGAAGAAGCATTTACTGAGAAGTTTCTCAAAATTAATTGCAAATATATCACCAATGGCAAGGTAATGAACAAAGTCTTGGTTTTTACTAAACTTTGAAAGCTTGACATGGACATTTTAAGTCAAAAATTTTAGCCATCTATGAGTATTTATACAAGGTTTTGGTAACTGAATGTTTGAAATAGCATGGACCTTGCCCATGACTTAGTATCTGGTTATCTGTGGCAGTTATTAAAGGTCATAAGGTATACATATATTCATTGTAACAAAGTACATGTACATAGTGGTTTTTGCTAGGATACTAAACATCTTTAAAACAGCAGCATTGACTGTGCAGGAGTACTAGCTTTGGAAAACTTAGTATAACACAGAAATTGAAAGATAACTCATCCTTACTGAGTTTGTACTATATAGTAGATAGTATTCATGTGTGTTCATTTAATCTATCAAAGTTGGAATAAACATTCCTTCTTTGGGGCGAGTAAATTATCTTTTGAAGTGCTTTGGTATGCTTCTAAATACTTGGGGATATGCAAGTATCCTTTGTTAAGTGATGTCTGATTTGATCCTATGTGGTCAGGGAACCTTCTTACTCCTGTGAGAAGGCTTAATACAGAGTGACTTATTTCCTCACCCAGAGTCTTTGGTAAATCTGTGTGTATGCTTGAAAAACACACATATTTTGCTTCTACTGAGTGGAATATTTTGCAGTATCATTGAGATCAAGCTGGGCAATGCTCGTATTCTTCTGTATCTTTACTGAGTTCTTATTTTTTCTGTAAATTCATGACAAGGATGTGGCACTGGCTCATTGCAAACAGTTTTCTGATTTTGGTTCCGTCAGTTTATGACTCATGGGTTTTCAACATGCTGTTAGAAAGGTATAAATGTATGGTATTCTTGTGTTGTTCTGATTAACTGACTCAGCCTGAAAAGCCCACATTGGCTCCAAGAATCTGCCCTGCCTGATGTTCGCTGTGCTGGACACTGCTACAGTTCCTACTTCCTTTTGGGAAGTGTTAGCATGGTTTATCCTTGCCTGTACTTTCAGGCTGTCTGTGCAAGGTGTGTTTCTTGTGGAGGGTATACAACTTTAGGTCTTAGTCAGATGAGTTTGAGGTGGTTAATTAGTTCTTGAGGTTTTCATAAATTTGACCTCAAGGAAAGACCTTTGAAGAAGACATTTGTGCATCCCTCTAGCCCTGAGGATGGATTCTTATGTTAAAGTAGATTGATGAAGGTATTACCTAGTTTAAGACAGACTGTAGAAGGAGCTTTGGAGGCCTTTGGGTAGCATTAATGTGTGTAGAGAAGTGGGAACATTGTCTTTACACTGGACCCTTTGTTGCCTTGTAGCTAGTTAGCATTATCTCCTCCTGAGAGTAATCTAAAATGTATCATAGGGTGCGTTGATGTTATGAACCGAATCTTCTGTGAACTAGGTTGCACTCAGTGGTAGAATACTTCCCTTGAGTGCATGATGCTCTGAGTTAGCTTGTCAGTATTGCCAAAGCAAACACAAAACCCAGGAAACTATCAGCGCAAATTCCTATAAAAGTAAAACTTTCAAAAATATCTTTCAAAGAACCTTGAATGTGCTTGCTAAATTGTAGCCAGTTGCATGGTTTCATTTATCAAAATCTGTAGTTTATAGAAATTGAGCAGTAAAAGGGACAGAAGGTTAGAAACCTTTCAAGGTTTTGTTACAGTGTGTGTACTCTAGCCCTGTTTACAGACTACCCAGCTATCCCCAGCAGTGTCAGTGACCTTTGTAGCACTTTCCTGGCTCTCTGACTTGTGTTTGTATGTGCTTCAGCAGTATATATGGCTGTAAATGGGTCCTTGAAGACACTGCTCAACGATGAGTAGGCTAATATTCTTTTGAAGATTCATTGTCTGAGGGGCTTTGAGATGGCGCAGTGGGTAGAGACCTTTGGAGACAAAAAAAAAATCTAATTTCTGCAAGTTGTCCTCTGACCTCCTTACACGTGATCTGGCACATATATTACACCAGCATGTGCACATGCGCACTCACCTTCACACTATGAATAGAGAGGTGCTTGCTGAACAGTTTAGATCATTTCCCCCAACACACTCTGCCCACATGTGTACAGAGTAAGGTTTTTCCGCCCGCCCGCCTGGTCTTGTCCTGCCGCAGCGCCAGCCCCAAATAACTCACAGAGACTCTGGTATTTGATATTATGCTGTTGGCCAGTTACTTGTTTCTTATCGGCTAGCTCTGTCCTAAGTATTAACCCATTTCTATGTATTTCCACATGGTCTTACGTGGGTTTTCTTACCCGGGAAAGGGGCCAGCGTCTCATCTCCCCAGTCTCTCCATCTTGACTCTTTCTTACTACTTTTTCTTTCCTCCTTGTCTCCTAGTCTCTCCTATCTCCTTTCCTATTGGCCAACAGTGCTTTATTTATTAACCAGTATGAGAAACATAGCTACATAATGGCATCTCCCATCACACATGTACTTCTTATTTTAATATTGCATAGGTTTAGTTTAAGTCTTTCATACCTGTAACGCCTACTGCTATCGCTTCTTCTCACTGGGTAACTGTATTCATCAGGAGATCTAAACATCGCTAAGTGAAGATCACTTTGTCCTGTAAAAGGCACTGTCTTCCATGACTGTACTGAGTTTAGACGGTGTGATACCAAGTCAGGCAGGATGCCTGATTTTCCCCTTCCCTGACATTGCAGGAAAAAGCAACATGACTTGGAATAACCATTTGATTTTCAGAAATTTGTCATGGTTTCTTTGAGCTTGTAAAATATCTTGGAACAAGAGTTTAAAAGTGAGAGTAAGGTGTTTGACATATGATTTAGAATGCATGTCTTTTGTGACATAGCTACTCATGAGTATGGGAAAGAGCGTACTACCCAGACTGTGCATCCGCTTTGCTTGTTCTCTGTTGTTCTTTGAGCAGATTGCCCACTCATCTCAGCCTTAGTTTTCACATCTGTAAAATAGAACTTGTGTCTGTTTCAGAGCTAAGATTGTGAGCATCAAGTTAACAGTGTACAGCGTATGCTATACATGAAGCAGTAAATACTAATTCATACTAATGCTATCAACTGTCTAGAAATCCTAATTTATAAAAGTAGACTCTTAAAGATTTCTATCTCTATTTATATACTAATTTAAAATTCATAGTCTCTGATGGTGAATAAAAAGTAGTTACAGTTTAATATGAATATTATCTAATCAATTCTATAGATGAAGAAATGTGCCCTGAAATTTTGAATACTGAAGCTCTCATACCTAATGAATAGCAAACTTAAGCTATTGTTTGTTTCATACACTATTTCTATGAAATGACTCCTTTACCGATGATAATGTTATTAATGCTTGTAATGTTCTTAATGTTATTAATGAGAAAGCATGCACTGTGCTTCCATACCCATATTTGGGGCTTGTATTGGGAGAAGTACACAGGAGGTAGTGTGCATAGTCCTGCAAAACTTGGCTTTTTGAGGCATAAGTCTGCCAGTCCCTTCTCAGCTTCCTAATCTAGCCATAATTTTCCTTTGTAAATTTTAATTCCTCACATGATTGCTTTAGGAAGAACATGATATTCTTTACATTCTGACTCTGCCGAGGAAAAGGTTATTTTCCTGGAAAAGCATGTATCATGAGGGATTGTGCCTTATGTGCCTGATTGTTCTATGTATAAAGTAGATGGCCAGAAGTCAGAGGATACCTAGCAGAGGCATCTAGGATCCGTGTTGAGCTTGTGAACTTTAAAGATTGAATGTTCTTCCTTTTTCCATCTTAGGGCACTGTCAGTGGTGTGCTGCTAGTCACACCAAATAATATAATGTTCGATCCACATAAAACAGACCCCTTGGTTCAAGAGAATGGCTGTGAGGAGTATGGCATCATGTGTCCAATGGAAGAGGTGATGTCAGCTGCCATGTACAAAGACATTTTGGATAGCAAAATAAAGGAATCCTTACCCATGTGAGTGTGCTGTTCTCTGTGGCTTCTCTTTTTCTTTCCTTTTGTTTTTCTTTTCTGTCTTCTTTCCATTTAGCATCTACATAGTAGACTCTTCTCTAAATATTCTTATTAGTTTTATTTCAGCTGCTTTTCATTTTGTCAGTAATGAAGGAAAACTTTAAGCACTCTTGAATAGTCATTCTTAGTATGTCTGATATATAGTTAGTAGTTGTGTTGTATTTATAATTACTTAGTCAAAGGGCCAAATATTTGACAACTAACCTGTCGTATTCATGTAACTCAATGCTTATCAGCCTTTGTTATTGAGGCACAGAATTAAAAATTTTAACTTACGCTGTATTATTAATTTGCCATGAAGGTACCTAAAGAGTCGCATGTGGGGTGTAGAGTGTTGCATGGATAAAGACCTGGCATTTCGAAAGGCAGAAGAGCTTTTACATTTACATTTGTAGTTGTACTTCTGGATACAGAACTCATGACACACAAAAGAAAAGACCTGTAATTGTGCTAATGCAGAGTTGACCTGGGGATGTGCTGGTCTGGGAGTTTGTGTAATATAACAGCGTAAATTTGAGACTGCAGTTTTAGGCAAAGCCTTTAAAAGCACGATGTACAAGCAAGTAGCCTGCAGAAATGTAAACGACTGATAGGAAGAGGAGACATAGCATACGACGAGGCGTAGGAAGAACTTATGTGCAATAGAAAAGAACTGCTCCCCCCCTCCAAGGACTGGCAACCACTTAAAATCGGGCTTCACCTTAACTGAGAACAATTGGTTTACAGACTTAAGATGCCAGTCTAAAAATTAGACATCAGGGGAAAAAAAAAGTTAGAAAGGAAAAAGCAGCAAGGTGTTTCTTCTCAGGCAGTGTGTAAGCTGTTAGGATGCCTGTGATAGGGTAAAACGTTTTTTGGAAAAGGGTCCATTTTGGCCTCCAGTGACAGATACTGTTTTTGACTTGGTAAAATAATCTCTAGAAATGTAAATAACTCCTAGAAATATTATTCTAAACTGCTGGTTATAGTTTTAAGTTGCCAAAGCCCATTTCAGGAAAACAAACAGCAAAGAAAGCACAGTTCTGGAGGTTAAATAGAGAGAAGAGACAGATTGAAGGACTAGGTCCAAAGGGAAAGAGGAACACCCCTCAGCAATGCCATCTTGTCCTGATGTTGTTTGGGAGTTATCCTCTACGTGGGCTGTGGCTGTTCTGCCTTTCAAATGATCATTTTATCATTCAGCATATCACCTGGGAAGACAGTGACCTGGGTGCAAGCATCTTAAATATCACCAGAAGGAAATACCCTCAAGTCTTGGTTTATATGTTAATTGAAATTGAAATCAGTATTTGGCTTCAAACAAGATAAACGTAGAAAATGGTTTTTACAAAGTCATACTTTGTAGAAAAAAAGTAGAAGATGTTAATATTTTAATATTTGGGGAATTGATTTTTAAGGTACTGTTCCTAATTGTTTTAAGTGCCGTTAGTATTAATGTTTAGCCATTCAGAATATTAATCTAAAGCTAGAGAAGTCACATAAATAAGTATACTTGTAAAAAAATCTATTAACAGTAAGTCTCTTGATTCTGGGAAGTATAAATGAAAAAAAAATCTTGTCCAGTTCCTTGACCCTGTGGGTGCAGTTTAAGTGAATCACCAGCAGATGGCACCATTTCACATTCAGTATTGCCAGTTAGATGCCTGGGTTTCTTAAAAGATGAGTAGAGAGGCAGAAGATACTTGAACTAAATGTTTAAAATAACTACACTTTACACATCTCACTTAGAAAAATAGTGTGTTTTGTTACAAAAACTTGAAAACCACAAGAAAGATAATCAGGAGGCTTAATCAGCTTTAGTGTCCACAGGAGGCTCCTTATGTGGTGGTGACTTGTTCTTTAGCCGTATTTGAGCAAAATATTGATGCTTTGCCACTGAGACTTCAAATAATTTACATTTATCATGAAACAACTTTAACCATCAATCTAAATTGCTGAATTTAGTGGCCTCTTGTGAACATTGGTATTTACCTAAACAAACACTAAGGAAGGTGAGACCCCCGCTATAAAACACTCATTATCGAACATCTTAGTTCTGTAACTGAACAAACTCTTAGAACAGTTGTGCGTTATTAGTGTAAGATTTCCTTCAAATGTTTGGCCTCAGGTTGCTGTTAACCTTTGGTTATAGCTGTGTATTTTAGTTTATTCTCTCTCTATATATATAATGAGCCCTGCATATGCGGGTGATGCATGGAAATTTCCCAACAAAAGTTTTGGCTCAGTGTTATAATTTCATCAAGAGTCTATGTTATCAAACTTTGTTGTAGATTATCTACAAAGAAATCTTCCAGGGATTTTTCCCCAAGTAGTAAACAGTTGATGAAAAACGTTGACGTAATTATGTGGTATATAAGAAAAACACGATTATTTCTATTTTCTGTGGAGAGCTATTCCTGGGCTATTTTGAAAGGCCTCTTCTGTGATATTTTGTTAGTTGGTTGCAGAATATAATATGTTACCATTTTTTAATGCCTAATGATTTTTCATTTTATTTAATAACAGAGAAATAGATCAGTTGTCAGGAAGGGACTTCTGCCATTCCAAGAAAGTGACAGGAATCAGTGCGGACGAAGTGGACTCGAGGACCCGCGATGCAGGTAATGACAGTGGCAGCACGGCTCCCAGGAGCACGGAGGAGTCTCTCTCCGAGGACGTCTTCACCGAGTCAGAACTCTCTCCTATTCGGGAGGAGCTCCTCTCCTCAGAGCTGCGGCAAGATAAATCATCAGACGCATCATCAGAGTCTGTGCAAACTGTCAGTCAGATTGAAGTCGAATCGGTGGCTGCCAAATCAGAGTCTGTTAACATTCCTGACCACATTATCTCCAATACTGGACCTTCTTCAGACAAAGGGGCTTTGTCTCATGAAACTGATTTAAGTAGTCTTGAACTAGCCACTAAAGAAGGAGATAAGGCTACAGAAAAACGTGAAGAAGTCTCAGGCCCTAAAGAACAAAGCACAGATGGAAAAGGTCAGGATGAGCGGAGTTCTTTACATCATGAGAACTCACTACAAGGAGAGGGTGGAGAAGGAAATGTAGCTTCTGGAGAAACAATGGGACAGAAGGAAAAGCAAACCGTGGAAAAGGATAAACAAGGGAAAGAGCAGAAACAGGACTCAGAGACCGAAGTAGAGGAGCTGCGCAAGCTCTGGAAAACTCACTCTATGCAGCAAGCTAAGCAGCAGAGAGACAGTATTCAGCAGGCGTCACTGAAGGAAAGTAAGCATAAAAGCACCCCTGCAGATGGACATGCCGATGGTAAGTGTGAGTGGACTGAAGTCTGTCGTATTGCATATTGCTTTCTTCTTTCTCCTCTGACCAAGCATGCAGAATGACAATCAAATGCTTGAGTGATGTGACACTGGGGACATGTCTGTGCAGAGCCTACTCTCTGAACATCTTTTTGGCTATGTTTAAGCACTCCTCACGCACTACATTTTCTATAGAGTGTCCCCACACTGAGTAATGCATTGATTACTCCATTTTCTTTTTAAGGTCTTGATTTGATTTTATCATTGCATATATAATATTTGAGTTGTAATTTATAATTGCCAAAGTTTTAATCCCTTAATTTTTTAGAAAGTATAGTTGGACATGAAAATCTATTTCTAAAATACTTTTGTATGTACAAAACTCCCATCCTTATGTGAGTTACCTCTTCCTCTCTTAGCTCAGTTTGTGTTAATATGAAAATTAATTACCATAATGGCTTCTGTTGCTAACATATTTTGCTTTTGCTTACTACATTATGAGTTAAGTAGCTATGGCTTAAATAGCTTAGCAACATTCTCTCAATTCTTTTGAAGAGTTGCTTATATTAAGTCAATTTATATGTGAGCTCTTTCACTATTTTAATTTCAAATTTTTATTATACTGAAATACACAAGTTAAATTTATCATTTTGGCTTTTTTGTTATGAAATGGACATATAATAAAATTTGACCTAACCATTTTTGAACTCTACAAGTCATTGGCATCAGTTTATTCCTATTGTTGCATACCCATCACTGACATCCATCTTGACAACTTTCAACATCTTCTCAAATCAACACTGTACTTAACTAAGCTCTACACTGTCGCTCCTCCCTTCCCCTGGTTGTCACCAGTATCTGTTCTCTGTCTCCCTTACTCCAGGCTTTGTACACGTTAACCACACATAGGTTCTGTCTCACTTATGTGACTTAGCACCATGCTTTCACCATTCATCTATGTTACAGGATGTGCTGGACTTTCCTGTCTTTTTAAAATTGCATTTATTTTTGAGATTAGAATTACGTCATTTCCCCTCCAAGCCTTCCCTTATACTCCTTGTTCTCTTTCATAGCTATGACTGCTCTTTCCATTAATTGTTGCTATGTACTGACTGGGCAGGTTATACCTATATGCTTAGGAGTATTTATGTATGGATGTGTGCTCACGCATGTGTGTGTAACAAAAATGTCCCTTTAAGGCCAAAGAATTAACATTTCTGTGTATGTATGTGTCACATGTTACTTGCCAGCAGTGTCAGGGTATCTGCTTGATGTGAAGAAAATTTAGGAGTATGTATAGTATTGCAAATCTTGCTGCAGTGAACAAATGCTGTGCAAAAAGGAGTCCTTCCATTCAGCTTTTTTTTTGGGGGGGGGCAGGCAAGGCAGGGGATTCCATCATAGCTACTTTTCTGAGAATCACTTGTCCTCAATGGCTGTACATCATTTTCATCTCCTAAGCAGCTCATAAAAGCTGACTCCGTCGGACAGGCTGCACATACTGGTAACTGCCTATAATCCCAGCACCCATAGGCAGAGGCAAGAAGACCCCCAAATTGTTAAGACCAAGGTTTTCCACACAGCAAGCATCTGCTTCAAAGAACCTCAGAAATATAAATGTTGTTTTGAGACCAGACAGGTCCTCACTGTCCCAGGCCTTGGTCCTCCTCCTGCCTTCCAAACACATGTGATTTAATACTCAACTTTCAGTGTTTAAAATACTGAATTTTCTTTGTATCATCCAACTGAGATACTTTAATAACCTATGATTATACTCATTAGTTATTAAAGAATGTATTTACTCAAAGCAATTTCTGTAAAGGATGAACTGTTCTGTAGTATTTTTTTCTTTATTCAGAACACAGTGAACACTTATTAGGAACTTTGTCAAATATAAGAAATTATAACACAATTTATAAAAATTATTTGGAATTTATTACTAAGGATGATCAGCTAGTATTAACATTCTTACAGATCTTTGGGAGGCGTTTTGTTTTGAGTGATAATTTGCATCTTTCTGTACTACAGATAATGATGTAAACTCAGGACTGTACAATATGTACTGCTGTTCCCTTCCTTGTACCTAGTATCTGTGTGGTGTACACTTGTGTGTTTTATTGGTCTTACAATTTGTCCAACTATTTACCTGTTTTTTTTTAACAATTCATATTGTTAAGACAATGATTCCCTTTGGTATCAGTAGCATCGGTATGAAGATCTTTACATAAAGCATGTGGCTTATTTACTTTCTGAAATATTGGAAATGATTAAAAAGTAATTTCTGTTCTATTTATAGGCTATTAGAATATGAGATAGATTATTATAGCCAGATACCAAAAGGAAAAAATTAGTAGGTATTTTTAGATAGTTTTCTCTGGGTTATGCTATTGGATTCTTCTTTCTAATGAAATATTAGTTTTAAATGAGCATTTTTTTAGTAATAATAGTGTATAATGTGGAACTATTAAAACTTTTTGAAATTTATTGCTTCATGAGATGAAACATTGTGATAAATATTAAACTGTAGGATACAATAATGGAAAAACAAGAATGACAAGCACTCCTTTTAACCAGTGACTAAGTGGGGTGTATAGGTTGTGCACTTTGAACACTGCTGCATGGGATGGGGGATATGTTTACAAGGGTACTTTCCTCCAAGAGTTGGTGCTGAAACAAGCCAATTAATATCCATGTCTTGGACTTAATCCTACTGTCAGACTCCAAATAATTTATGTTCTGGTTGGAGGTTATTTAGACATAATTAACTGTCCTAACATTGTTTTGCAGCTAGTGGAATGTTTTTGATTTCTCACACCTTTGTATGTGACTAGAGATTTCATTTTTTTACTTGATTTGCCATATTAAAATAACCATTTAGAAATTCTGTGTAGTTACTTAGATGTGATTTGTAAAAATTAACAGAGAATCTGCAGAGCATTTTACATGTATATGCAGTTTAGCATAGCTGTTACTAACAACTTATTGAAAAGTCTCTGAAATTTTGCATTCTTCTTCTAATAGCCCTCGACAACATTTTAGTTCACTAAAATACTCAGTGACTTAATGGGTCCTGTTTACATATCCCTTCCAGGCTCTTCACTTTTAAGGGATAAGAGAAGGCACCGATTACACAAATTCCTGTGTCTCCGAGTTGGAAAACCGATGAGGAAAACGTTTGTATCTCAAGCCAGCGCTACGATGCAGCAGTATGCACAGAGAGATAAGAAGCACGAATACTGGTTTGCAGTGCCGCAAGAAAGGTAAACGCCCGAAACAACTGCTTTAAACGTGTATCCTTGTAAGACTCATTCACACAGATCACACCAGAAGCAGAGTACCTTCATCCTATGTCTCCACCTCTAATTCTAGCACCAGGAAGGCTGAGTCAGGAGTTACAGGTTCAGGGCCATCCTGTGGTATATGGCAAGATTAAATTAAATAAGTCAGCAAAAGTACGTTTTAATCTATTTGAAATCAGCTGCTATCTGATACTTTTTAGTTTGTGCCTTTAATTTTTTCTTACTTAGTTTATTGTAAAACATTGGAACATGAATGATATTTTAATAGTAAAGTACTTATACCTTAGACTCTGAAGATTCATGAATATATTAACACAGCCATCTTGAAGGAAAATAATGATGTATAGTTCTTTATTTAACTTTTTATCTTTACATTTTTATTTTCTAATATATTTTCTTGCAGAATCTTATAAGGTGTTTTTTTTATCCTCTATTAATATTTTTGTAACAAATTACATTTACTTGCTCAATGTATTTTTCTGTATATACTGAAATCACATGTTTTTAACTCACTAGGACTGTTGACAGGGTAGCAGAGGACTCTTCTGTGGTGGGCTGCTAACAGCCTAGCAGGCTTCAGTTTTAAGCATGCTAGCAGAAAAGCTAGGCAGTGGTCCAGACAGCAGAGGAGCGTTTTCAGTAAAAGGGGGGATGTATTTCAGGGTTGGCTTCCTGTTCCCATTTTTAATTTTCCTTCATTGCTGAACTTAGTTTACCTAAAAATTAATAATGTTCACATTATAATAATCTCACTCAGTTTTTTAAGTATGTTTATGTGTCTTCCAAAAATTACTTAATATTTTCTTATAATTTTTAGTTAGTATCAGCGAACTACTCCTGAAAATCTCCTTCAGCTCTGTGTTGTCCAGTGAATTAGAAACAACTGGATATACAAAAAGACTTTTTATGTAGAATTATTCATAGCGTCATCACCAGCCTTGATCAGCCTAAGAGTATTTATACTTTAAAAATGTCTTCTAAAAAACTGAATGTATAGCCGGATGTTGGTGGTGCACATCTTTAGTCCCAGCACTCAGGAGGCAGAGGCAGGCAGATTTCTGTGAGTCCAAGGCCTGTCTGGTCTACAGAACAAGTTCCAGGACAGGCTCCAAATCTACACGAGAAATCCTGTCTGAAAACAGAACAAAACAAACAAACAAACAAGAACAAAAATCCCTGAATGTATTAGGGTATCTCTTATTTTTTAATGGGAGAAAAAGCCCTTCAGTGGAAGCAGAAGACAGGTTGTCTGTAATGCATCCTGGCCTTGCAGTCCATCAAGAGAGCTAATCCAGCAATAGTAGGCATCAGAGGAATGGCTGTCTTGGAAACCCTGTGTAGTCTACTTTGAATATTATTTCAAGGATCTAATGATAAACTTCTTCTTCCCTCTGCACTACCAGATACACCAGATATTGTGAGTTTCTTCTTTAAAATGGAAGTTTAGAAATTAAAATAGTTTGATTTTCACAGTTCACTACTTGAAAGAAACAGTTCCAATCAAATAAACTAGTGATACTAAAGTGATTATAATGAAAAATGTAACTATTTAGTTTTTCTTGTTATTATTGGTTATTTCTTAATTTTTAGGTGGAATAGAAGTTTGTTTTTAATGTTGTTCTTAGTTCCAAACCTAAGTGTTGCAACCTTAACTGGGAAAAGGCTCTCAACCCTCCTTAATGGAAATCCATACTACTCCACCATCTTGCTACCCACTAGAAATTTCATTGCAAATAATAATTAAGTTGTACCTTGGCTTTTATTGATATTAATACTACTGGGATTTTGAACATTATCGTAGACAAAACTTAGGAGAATTGTTGATAGTTACCTGGAAGGTAACACTTAACTACCCTTTAATATGTCAGGTGTCATATAGCCTTTTATGTCATGAGATGGATGCATAATTCCTAGAACTCTTGGCTGTTACATGCTAGCTGTGAGTTTTGTGATTCAGTTATCCATGCTAATTAAAACCAATAAGCACATAGATGTTTGACATTTAAATATGTTTAGTATAGTGCAGTAACCAATACAGTTTACTACAGTTAGCAAAATGTAAACTATTTAGGTCATCAACCTCTGTGTACTGCTCTTCTGTTTGAATGCTGCATCTTGATTTCTTCCCACTGGCGTCTTTAGGAAGGAAAACTTACACTGCAGTCAGTACAGCGAAAGCCTTCCAACGAAAGTCTTAGTGCAGCCTTTTTTAGAGCTTGACAAATGAAGGCCCAATGCGTGGTCATAATTAGTCTTAATAATAAAAACCCAGAGTCAGATACCAGGGTAAAAGCAGAAAGATCATAGAAGTAAAGGACCAGCTACAGTCACCACTTAGCTCTCCCAAAATCACAGTCTGAAAAGGGATAAGTTCCTGTCTATCCCCTGCCTTACCACTTCCTGTTTCCTGTCTGTACCAAAAGACCTCCAGACCTGTATGGTTAACTGGTTGCTAGCTCTGCCCTCTGATCTTCAGGCAAGCTTTATTTGTCACAACACAACAAAGTATTGTAACAATAGCAAATCAGTTTTTAAAGACAATGTCTTCCTGGACTTTATTGTTTAATAAAGTCTAGTGTATTTTGAATGTCTTCAACTTGTATCAAAACATTTTGACAAATACAGTCTTTTAACTTTAGCTAATAGCTGATGATACTAGGCCTATTAATCACCATTTTACAAATGCAGTCTTCTAACTTCAGCTAATAGCAGATGATACCAGGACTATTAATAACCATTTGCTCTAACAGAACAGAGCACTTGTACGCCTTCTTCCTTCAGTGGAGTCCAGAGATATATGCAGAGGACACTGGTGAATATTCCAGAGAGCCTGGATTTATAGTAGTCAAAAAGATCGACGAGTCAGAAACAAATGAAGATCCCGCTGGTGATGCCGCAGCCAGGGAATGGGAGGTAAGGCGAGTGAGACTTTCCTCCTTTTTGTTTGCTTCCTCTTTACCCTGTGGGACTGTATAACCTACGGTACACCAGAAACTGTAAGAAGTCATTGCACAAAAGGTGTTTTGAAGGCCTAGTTCAGAGTCCATACACATATGTATTGATTGAACGAATCTGAGTAGTAACTGAATGCTCTTTGTCACTTTGTCTTTACATTAAAATACTGGATTAGTGATAAAGTCATTTTTAATATGTTTCAGCATATTTAAAGGATGGTAACATGGCAAAGATGGAAATAACATTAATTGCTATTATATTGTCATAAAAATGTCCTATTTGATTCATGTGTGTTTTTTTTCTTCTACGTGAAAGAACACGCATTTAGCACATTTAGCACAATTAGCTGTCATTTCCAAGTTTCACACTTAATAATCATTGTCTTGACCTGAGTTTGGTGATACTAATGTCAGGGCAATAAGTCGGTGCTAATTTTATATTTTAAAAAAAGTTTTTATGTGCTCAAATTTAATGAGCTTGCAAATAATGTCCAAGTTAATACGGATGATCTTTTTAAAAAAAGTTCCTGGTAGCTTAAAAACAAATTTAAGATTATGTCATTTTATGTCCTTTATCTTGGGGTATTGATAGGATAATAATGTTTTTAATATTTTGGTATTTTTATCTTAATTAATCTCTTCTTGGTGCTGTTAGAAAACAGAGCAGATGCTAAAATGTGTTAATAAATGGAGTCAGATTTTATTATCCATTTGGTTAAAGTTTGTGGTTATCTGTGTAGTATAAATTTACTGTACATGTACTTAGCATGTATAATGATTAAGGTATACATGGTTTGTCTTCTGTTTAAGCTGTGGTCCTGGTTTTTTGTCTAACATCACTGTGTGCTACATGCAACATCCATTTCTACTATATCATCAATATGATAAAGGGAAAGAAAAATAATAAATTGTACATTTATTTCAATATTTAAATAAAAGTATTAATCTTAATTCCAGCCTTATCTATAATATCTCCAAATTAGTAATGACCTGAATTACTATCAGCAGAATAGGTGGGCAAATTTGCAGATATTTATAGAATTTTTATGTGATACACCAATAAAAACATACCTAATAATATAAGCAACTACATGGATGACAGATAATGGGTAAAATACAAGAGGAAGGTCTGAAGTCAGAAGTGCAAGAGTAGCTGACCGTAGACTCATAGCAAAGAGGCAGAAAGGAAAGAAATGGAGAGGCTTCCACGTAGTGTGGATGGGGTTACATGGGCACTGCCTGTTCCAGCTGTGTTCTTTTCAGAAGGTAAATTTGTGCAGATTTCCACAGATGTGTAAAAGTTAAGATGGCAATGGCTGGAAGTAGGTTTCAGTAAGAGGAAATAAGTTAGTAAAAGATGTTATGTAAATGATGAGGATTTAGTGGCAACTAAGCAATGATGAAGTTTCTAAGTGGGGCAGTAAAATGGTGAATGGCGGATTTTCAATCAAGAATCAATCGAGAATCTTTTCCCAATTTTGGTTGGATCGCTTAAGTTTGGAAATATAAAACTACTGACTCTTTTTTGTTCTTTTCATGTGGATGCAGGTGTTGTGTGCATGTAAGGGCATGAATGTTTGCAAATGTGTGCACTAAAGTATGCATACGAATGTGTATGTGCAGAAGCCAAGGTGAATCTTCTTGATTGCTCTCGCCTCCTTTCTTTAAGGCAGCATCATTCAATGCTATCCAGAGTTCGCACATACTGCTTGTCTCCGCATCGAGCTTGCTCTGGGGGTCCCATCGCAGCTTTTTAAAGCTGAAATTACAGTTGGTCCTTAAATGGCTCCTGAGGCTACACACTCCCAGATTTAGTTGTTTTGTTTTTCCAGCTGACAAGCACTTTAACTGGCAACATCTCCCCATCCCCACTGTAGGCTATTTTGACTTAAAGGAGTGGCTTCGGTTTCTGGGGAAAATATGGAGGATTGTAATTTACAGTTTTAGATTTATATACCTCCCAAAACAAATCACAAAGTGGTAGGGCAAGTTCAGTTTGTAAACTTGCTGTACCTTCTGGAAAGTGTTGTGTGGTGTAAGGCAGTAGACCTGTCTGCGCAGGTCTTGGGTATGGTAACGTGACTGAGGAACAGGAAGGAGTTTTAAGACTGAAGGTGAGGACTCTTCACCCTGTCACCAGATGTCTTTCAGACTGCTTGGACAACTTGTGTGCATGATTGCCCTTCTCAACTGAAAATTTTATGAAATTCTGAGCTGGGAAGGACAGTTTGCTGCCGTCTTGTTTTCTGACTTTGCATCTTACCTTGTCTTTTGTTGTAACATGAGTGATAGAAAGATCAATGGTTTCTCTCTCAGGACAGTTATGTTAGGAAAATTCTCGCTAGTGTGGTTGATCTATTGACCTTCATTTCTTCTTCTAGGGACCATCAATAACAGAAATCCCAACATTGGGTAGATGACAATAAGGTGGAAACCCTGACCTGTCTCTGTATAACCTTCTCCCAAAACAGAGCGATTTCCCTTAGCTTGGTTGTTTACCGTTTTAGATTCTTTGCAGACCCTGTGTTATCTTCATCATTACTCTTAAGATTTGTTAAACAACTATAAGTCATGGCTCTCAAAATTGATAAGATGTGCAGTTTGAATTGGAAAACTTTAAAGACATATTTAAAAGAGTTTCATTTACAAAATACAGAGATTAAATGACAGTTTTATGACTAAATAGAACAGGCAGGAATTTCAGAACTAGAAGGATGAGGACAGCAGGAAGAAAGTACAATATTAGAGATTTGTGTGTGAGTTCCAGATGAGCAAAACCCCTCTCCCACAGAAAAAGGAGAGAGTTTAGCCACATTTCAACAGTGAGGTCTCCTAATGATACATCAGAATAATTACTATATTCTGAAGGGGATCAGGGACGTGGCATCCATTCTGTTTACTGACATCATGGGAGTGGTTTTCTCCTTCCACCATGTGGGCCCCAGGAATCAGGTCATCAGCTGCAAGCTCCTTTGGCGACTGTCTCACTTCCTTAACTGGATGGAGTTGAGGTTTTGATTATTGTTAGAGGGAAAGGCCCTTGATCCTTGCCAAGCGTTGGTGAGTTGGTGTTGCATTCAGTGTTTAGTTTCTCAGACCCTGGTTCTTTCCAAGTGTTGGATATTAGTCAGAGTAGCTCAATCATCCATCGAAGTATAAATGTAGTAATATATTGCCTGCTTATGACAGAGGACACAGAAGGATTACTCAAAACATTTTAGTGTCTACCTTCTGCCTCAATTTTTCAATTTATTTGTGTGTTGATTTTGATTATAACTTCCAGTATTCTCCAGTTGGTTATATATATGTAAATATTTAACCTGTTGTTAGTTTTCTGCACCATTAAGCTCAGTTACATCATTACTGGATTTTTTACCCCTGTTGTATGGACTCAGTTCTGTTTGCACAGCTGTCATTAAGTAGTTATCACCAGAATCATTCATTATAATTTGCAAAGAAGAACAGCAGTGTAATACTGCTGCAACTCCCAGTAAGAACCGTGCCAGAGGACCACAGTTGCATATTTAACATGGTGTCTACTAAACACTGAGTGGTAAATGATCTTATGTGTATTTTCCCAAGTATATTTCATTATTGTCATTAAAGAACTATGTAATTTTAAAATTAAGTCAGTATATTCAAGTACAAGCAAAAATCTTTCCTAATCTCTTCTCAGCCTAGTTACCAAAATGTGCATTCAGTTGAAACTATCAAAAAATAAAAGGAGACTCTATGTCTACAGTCAGCACAAGAAGATCCCAGTTCTCAGTGTGGCTACTGAATGGGAGCAGACAGGCTGTGCTGTGCCTGTTTTATCTGTCTCATAGCATACTTCATTTTGTAGGGCCTACTTTCACGTTTGAGAAAGACTATCTAGTAGTTAGGCAAGTTTTTAAAATGTTCTGAGTTTTTTTTTTTTAGTATTGTTGATGGTTTTGTTTTGGGGACTGGTGTTACAAAGAAGGACTATGACCACAGTGTATTTTATGTTTAAGGAATGTTGTTGAAAGTAATGGGGGGAGGGCATAGCTGGCATACTGGAAGGGGAATATTACCTGCAAGTTATGCTGGGTTCTGTGGGGGCACAATGTTGTATGTACTTGAAAAGTAATGTGTATTTGAGGAGATGGCCTAGTGTATTAGACATAGCGAGTTAATAGTAGAGCAAGTTTGCCTGAAAATAGAATAAATATTTGAATATTACCATTGAAGTGTAAATAAAACTGAGCTCCAGATAATTTTAGTCTACATCTAAATTAAATGGAGTTATAGTTCATGCTTAATCTTTTAAAAATAAGCTTCTGCTTGTATTCCATGTACTACTGATTAATGAAGGATGGCATATGTAGACACAGTAAATATAAGTATCTTTCAATAAAAAATAATATGCTAGAAAACATTTTAAAGTAATCTTATTATCTATGAATATTTCATAAAAATTAAATTTATAAAAATGTATAGGATTATGAGCTATAAAGAACAAAAGTCTAACACAAGAGAAATAGAAAAGAATTATAGAACTAGATGAATAAACAGTAAAATGTTAATTGCAATTACATGTGTGACTTAGGAAGAATTCTGGAAATTGTAAAAGTGTATTACTTGTAACCATGGTACTTTTAGTGTATCTGTTACTGCCATGGAAATATGTGCTCTGTGTCTTTAAACTTTTGAGCCCTTTCTTTGCACATTTGGGTGCAGTGCAACCGAACTTAAGCATGGGAAACACTCTGTTCCCACCCCAGCTTTACAGTCTCCATTCAGGACTATCTGTTCAATGGATACTACTTAGTGATTAGCTCTCGGTTGTGTCAATCAAATCTTGGTTGCTAGCGAACTGTTTTGTCACTGTAGCAGGGCTCTGGTGCTGGAGATTTATCTTTGACAGAGGAAGAATGCTTTTGAAAACAGTGCTTCTGTGATTTGCTGGAGCTTCATGTGACCTGGGAAGGAAATGTC